GTGGCAAAGCCTGCACATATACTCATTTGTAGCTAAAGTCTCGCTTTCAGCGCTGCGGTTGCTAGTGTTTCAGTCAAGTGGAGCATGAAAAAACCAAATGCAGGGGTAGCAAAGCGGTTGAAAACGTGCAATACAAACGTCGTTTATAATGTTCACTTATGTGCAGGTGTATGTTTGTTTTTGGCAATATTTATTTTGGTCCTCAAAAGCTGGGTATAAAACAAAATCACAGCGCGCTTTCAATTTTTCATCTGGCGAAATTATTTCTGCCCACTTCACCTTCTCCACTAACTTTACCCACTTCATTTCACTTGCCGTGACCTGCGAATATCAAGCTCGTGTACGCTGCTGGTTTATATTCATACGTAAGGATGTGTGAATGTGAGATATGAGCACTGGTGAAAAGTGAGAATTTGCCAGTGGACGCTGCAACAGTGAATTGAGCAAGGTGTACCTCGTCGTCGTCTGTGGCATATGCGGCAGCGTGCCAACACGTCTTCGTGCACCTTGGGACCGCCACAAGCAAAGAGGGGAAAGGCGGAATACAAAAGCAGTTGGAAATTACGGTTCACAAGCAGCACGGTTGGTGTCTGCTTGGATTTATTGGTACTAACGCGCTGGGAATACTGAGGCAGTCGAACCGAACACACACATTTGCAAAGAGTTGTTGCCAACTGACTGCCAGGTGTGGAACGTGCCACATCGTCAGCGTATGTGTGTGCTGATAATTGCAGCTTAGTGGCGAATAACTAATAAAATTCATTTTGTGGTCACAGAACAAATTGAATGAAAACATACGCGTTCATGGAACTCAAAATAATAAATTCTGATTTCTTGGCAAAAAAAAGTAAACCGAAAATGTTTAAGGCCGAAAATTTTATTTTCAGTTGGCAGTTCAGTTCATATAGCTACCTAAATTATAAGCGTCACACATTCATATAAATGTTTTTAATATTTTTTTATACTTTTTGGTTTAATTTTTTTTATAAATTTTTATAATTCCTTTTTTTAATTTTTTAATCATTATTTTTGTTTTAATTTTTT